TAGTAACAAGGGCATCGCCACTAGTAGCAAGAATGCTAATAGTAGCTCTTGGCATTACTACTAGTAGCAAGAAGCTACTAGCAACTAGGGATTGTTATGGTATGAACAGAAGTGCTGAGGTTTCTGGAGATTGCACTGCACCAATGAGCATTGCCGAGCTCAGCGCACGGACTGACAAGAGTTTCATGTTCTTCAATGACCTTCGACCACAGGTGTTTTTGTGTTTCTTATCCTATAGGGAGAAAAGACAACACATAAAAAGGTGTATATATACAGTATATAATATATATATATAGTATCCATTCTCCGCATCAAGTTATACAAAGACTGTTCATACGTCTCCATGTTGCCTGGAATGAAGCCCATGGAGACAGGTCCAATGCGCTGCTATCCCGCGCACTGAGCGGGGGGGTCCGGCGCGCGCGCTCGGCGCCCTTTTCAGCGGCTGCGGGACGCAAACTTCAAAGTTTGGAGGATGCATGGATATCAAAGTGCTTACATGTCTGTTGTTTCTATCTGTTCTGCTTGTTGTCCCTGTTGAACATGTGGTTCATTTGATGGAGGCCTTGAATGTACACTAGCATATAACATTCATCATACCCTCAAAAATTGAAAGCGTCCATGAAACATCCACCAAATGAACTTTGGGCAAGCAAGGTTGCACACAACACTCCCAGAGTGGGATCTGCACATTCGATCCAAAAACTATCTTTAGTCCAGCTTGTCTCATCAACCATGGCCTTGTGGCCATTCCGTAATTTCGTGGACAGGATTCGGGGATTTGGGAACAGCACGACTCCCCTTACACAAACAGAACAAAGTAACAAACCATGCACACACAGAAAAAAGAAAAACACTCACTCGGCGCACTGCTTTTTGCTTCCGGATTGAGGCCGCCAAGTCCTCCAATCCTCCCCCAACTCCCCGCCCCGCGGGCGCTTGGAGCCACTCCCGGGTCGCCAGGTTCGCTCCTGTGCTCGGAGGAGCCACCGAAGAAGGTAAGAATATCGGGCCCAGTTACTACTATAGTCTAGAAGCTACTAGGTAGGCCATCCCTTACTAGGTTGGAGGCCATCGCTAGTATATCAGGTACTTAAAGAATCCTTGGGCCCTCCATGGTCGGACTCGACCCCGTCGCAGGGGTCCAGACCCTCAATCCCTATTTGTTTGAAGGCCCGGATTCTTAGGGTGTCATGGTATCATGAATCATGCCTCAAGTATCACAAGAACAAGTAGATGCGTAAGCAAAATCAATTCAACCTCTGTGTATACAGAATGCCATGCACACATATCTAGATCATATAGATGGAATAATGAATGTCGCTACTCAACGGCTGGATAAGTCCAAAGTTGAACAGCATATTTGATGGTGGGTCGAAGTTGTTCCTGTCTCAGCGGGTCGTTGGGTATGGATTATAGCTGCACAAAAAAAGAATCAAAGTCATAGCAAACGTGCTGGGGTAAGCCATGTTCGCTCAATGAACAAACAACACAGTCGCTGGACATCCCAACGATTAAGCATCTGATATCTGAAGGGATAAACACCTGATATCTGATTTCGGACGAGAACCTGTTCTGCCAAAAGGAACTCTTCTGACCCCGTCCTACATCTTCTGACCCTGTCCTCCATGTGGCCGTCATCAGCTGAACCGCCGCCTCAGACAAACCATGTAGCGCGCAATGGAGCTAGGCGGCTTTGTTTACTCAAAGCAAGATTAAAGCAGCCAGCTTGCTATACATAAAATGCCTCTTGGAAGAGCCTGCATCAATCCCAGCAATTGACTATGGGCCGATGAATAAACCATGAACATCTTCATTCATTTAGTTCATAGCTCAGCACTGTCGCCGTGAGTACATATACATGTGTATGTGTGCGGGCTGCTCAATCACGATCCTGGACACACAAAGACAACCCCTCGGGGCGGGCCCGGCGCCTCTTGAAAACACCTGGCGGAACCGGAACATGCTGCAGGACACTTTGTCCACCAAAAGAAGTCAAAAGAGGTCAACACAGCTTTTGGCGCCGGCACAGCTCATGGCGCTTCCTTCAACGAGAGGGAAGTGGACCCTGTGACCACTTTCGAGCGTTTCACAGCTTTGGGGCCAACGCAGAGAACTGTCCTAATCCCGGCCCACCTGAGCCGACCACATTGTCTATCGATATATATATATACATATGTCTATCTTCATGTGAGTACTTCATTTAGGAGCACACATGAGTACACCGGACATGAGTACACCCCCAAAATTGCCAGGATATGGAAACTATTGATTTCTGCCATCCATTCCAGCATCGATGCTTCCTGACTCATCTATACACAGGTGAGAGGCATAGATAAATCTCATCCGAAGAGACAAGTGTCTTGCCCTTCGGTTGTCTCCATTGTGATCGTTTCCCAACAGGGCTGGGCCTATGGTCTTGAAAGTTCAAGGTTCCAATCCAGTCACACGCCCGAATCTTGAAGTCTCCCTCGTACCCTTACTTCCACACCTGCAGAAACCTCTTATCCACGAAACCTCTAGATCCAGGGCTCCACTTGGAGTTGCTGCCGCGCGGGCGCCTGCTCCATAGGCCTCGCAGGGCTGCTTGTGTCGCAGCCGCCGGCGGACCTGTGCGGGAACCCTATAGGCTAATATATAGGGATCCTGTGTCCTGTCAGCACGTGTGCATTCATACTTGCAGTGATCTACATATAGTTCTCTCATGAAGCCATTTCTTCATATTTTTGAGGATATTCTTCGTCCGTGGATTCATGCGGATGGACCATTCATTTGTATTAGAACAAGCAAGAGGGGACCAGGGATCTCTGCGAGAGGGGCAGTTTCTACATCATAGCGTCGTCACGGCGTGGGTCCTTTCCAAACCATCCAGTTCAGCTATGCTCAGATGATTGACATGGAAATTGAGTGAACCACCATGGAGTGTATTTAGAGGAAAGGCAAGTAAGGGCTTGAGATGGCTAGGTCTGATTAGAACAACTCAGCAGCCCCAGTGCCTGAATCAAAAGGCACGACTATTTAAATCTTCCGATCCACATCTGATGTGCTGCCATGGTGTTGCGCTGAATGTGTGTATTGCACCCGGTGCTGACACGTCAGTGTAACGGTCTTCATTCACGGGAGGATAGGCCTTTTGCTGAGAAAGGCCTATCGAGGAATACCTGCGTGATTTCCACATGTGTATGACGCACACGCAGGTTCACATGGATGGCCAGGTAGGGTTTGACAGGCAAACCCATGTGATGCAAACGACAGAAATGATGCAGCTCACGCAACACGTGCAGGCATGATGTGGCGCAAGGTGCATGTGGTGCACTTCGCGGGCCGTCCGATGCAGCGCTCGTCCGAAGTACCAGAGCTTGAGCCCCGTTCGTAGCGTCCTTGCTCCTACTAGAGCCCACCAGCAAGAACGAGACTTATGTAGCTTACGACTTGGAGCATGAATGAATGAGGTGCCCATCTGCTTTGCAACAGCGCAGGTTACCCTGTTGGAGAACGATGACCGTGCTGCCCCCGTGAGCTCCTTGAGACCTTGCAAGTACTCCATGCGGTGGATTTGAGAGCAGATTTGGGGCATGCAAGTAGGAAAGGGAAGAAAGGGAAGAGGAGGAGGCCATGTAGATGTGGCTTTGCCGAATGGATTCCTGGTGCAAAGCAGGAGGCAGCAAAGCCAAAGCCTGTCTAGCCGTTGATGGTTTTGAACGCGCTACCTTTTCGATTACATTTTAATAGGTTCCCCGGATGGAAATCTGGGGGGTGTGCGGTATGCCTATACTTTTGACCGCAGCGAGCTTGCACGTCTTCCTGGATTTTTGATATCGGCAGCACATCAGTTTATATCAATTTACATGCCGAAATTAAACTTGATTCACTGCAAGGCGGCCACGGTCCTTAGAGCCTTTGGCAATCGCAAAAGGAAAGGAGAGACAAGTAAAGTAAGCTTCCGAAGCCCTTTGTTCAAGTTGTAGTTCACTGACTTCATTTAGATGGCAAACTAAGCAGGTGCTAAGTTCAGTCCAGTTTCGCCCCTGTCCACCTTCACATCTGCAACTGATCTCTCCAATCTCCCCGCCTTCTCCACCGGTTCGACGGATCTCTCCACCTGCACAGGTTTCCAGGTGTGTTTCATCGCCGCCCCATCGTTCGAGACATTTTAGGAATTCGTGTGCAAGGTTTGGCAACTGTGCACACCGTGCACCAGTTCAATATCAAGTACCAAGTTGCCGCCCGTAGTGGCTTCGAACACGTGAACCAGGACCCTGTATGGGAGTTCGTGCTGCATTTGATGGGTTTAAACAAAAAACACAAGTACTCGCTGATAAGATCCAGGTGCCATCGATTGGTACCTGACTTTGTATAAGAAGTGTGAATTGTTGCTGTTCATCCGCAACAGGTTCTACCATATGGTTGACCTGTGAGCATTAAGCGCAAGCCTCCTGGCGGCTTTCTCTTCCAACGTAGCATGCCTTCAGAATTCCCAGGGCCAAACCACTGTGTCTGGTGTATTGAAAACAGGCAGAATAAACCCGTTGACTGCCAGTGTTCAAGGAGTCCCTCTCGTCCAAACCACACTCGGTCATATCATAAGACAATATAAGACATAGTAGTGCTCTCCTTTGATCAGCTTGGAGTGTCCATCTACTCTTAGGGCCACATCTGTACCTGACTGGTGCTTGGTAGAGAATAAGGGAATGAGCCCCCAATAGAGATTCTATTGGATCCATTCCCTCATTCCCTGCTAAGCACCAGTCAGTTAGGCATTTTTTGGAGCAAACATCCCAACGGTCTTTTGAGGAAGCTTCACTCTCTTGGGATCCACGGTTGCCACCCCAGCCACCCGAATCACTCATACTATCTGATGCTGCAGTGAATCCCGTAAACACAAAGAAGATACCTATAGCTTGCGTATATCCCATTACCAGTAACAGTGGATGATGAGTTCCAGTCATAACTCATAACCGTTACTGAAAACATCTCTCAATGGTCATCCCAAAAGCAGTGATGAAGTGTATCAAGTGGATACACTCCCCGGAACGTCCTCATGGTAAATAGGCACGCTCCAAATGGTGGACACTTCCATCCAAAACGCTCCCGCTCCGCCTTCATCTTCGCCCGCGAGGAACGCTCCCGGGCCCGCAGGACCTGAACGCACGACGTCGTTCGGTGTTGGACGAACGGAGAGTACCGACATGGTCGAGAGTAGCGATGAGCGGTAGCAACTGTAGCGATAGAGTACCACCAAAGTAGCACGAAAGTAAGTCAAAATTGGTTAGGGTGACCCTATTCACTGTATATGAACAAAGTGTGGCAGCTCTTAGGGCCAGTCTCTTTTCTGTCACTGCTTTTTTCTGGTGTCGGGAAGCATGATGGGTGGGCACATACTGTGTACTTGTTGGATAAACATCCACTGACACTTTATGGTACTGCGTTGACATCTATATATATATGCCATAGGGTCCAGGCATCTCCTGAGGATGGTCTTGGAGGTGAAAGTACTTCCAAAGAATGGTCTTTGGGGCCAAAGGAGATCCTCAGGATGGTCCTGGACTGTTAGGTTAACTATAAATATATAATGTAAAACATGTCGTTGTATAAGTTGTAGTCTTGGGTTCATGTTTTTTTAATGCGCATTCCATGTGATCCCACTGATTTCTTACTTGTCAAGTATACTTTGCCCATCATAATCGGGTGACCGATGGGATTGGAGCGAAGCTCAGCCAGGCCCGAGCTCGTGCTCAGTCCCTCGCTTGGTTGGACAGATTGGACCTTTTTTAGGGGGTTGCAGGGCCTTCAAGTCTTGATCCAAACCCATCAACATATGGCTGTGGGTCAAATGCACCGGGGGTCCCCTCTTGAATCAATCGAACATGAACAGATTCCTCCGGATGTCAACCTACATCATTGTTTGGTGGAGTAGCTGCCATGACGAAACCAGCCACTCTCACACTTCCCTTGCCATGCGAAGCCTCTGGCGCCTCCACAACATCCGCCTGAGGAGTCAACGAGTTCGGAACGACCAGTGTCACGTGACCGGGGAGTGCCGGGACTCGAGGTGAGAAGGACCGGTACACCCATATGGAATATGAACAATACATTGTACCCCCAGTGCAGGTTGCAGTTTTTGTACCTTTTGTCCTATGTTCGAGGTCCGTCTGAGTCCTAGGTTGCTTGTCCGTGCACATCTTCCTCTACCAGTGCTATCTGGTCTCTTGAGTCGATGGCTCGAGCGCTCGCTTGGGCGACAGGTGACCACCGTGGAGTGCTTCAACGAAAAGCGAGCAATGCTGGGAGGAACCCAGGACCTGGAGTCAATGTCGATGGGAAAGTGGTTAGATTGTCTTCGAATCTTCTGGAACTGGCGTTTTTGTGAGCCCAGACTGAACAAATCAGGTACTGCAACTGTCTTAAGATCAGCTGCTGTCCGCTGCGGAAATCTGACGTTTCATCTTGACCTCCCTGCTTGTTGATGGTGTTCTGATGGTTGTTTTCTGTGCAGTCAGACTCGTCCAGAGCTGAACATCCAATCTGTCTTGGGGGGCGTCCGAACATTTCCATCCCGGAGGGTCACATCTTCGTAGAATTTCATCCGTGTCATTCCCTGTCGCTTCTTCTCGGAGGCGAAAACAAAGCCGCCTCGATGCTGGCGCTGGGACGGTCCACCAAACTCAGCCTCAGGGCTTCGTCGAAAAAAGCGCGGCCACGAGGACCATCTGTGAATGTTTCATGATGTTGCATGATGTTTCGGTTAATGATCACCGTTTCATACCGTTTCAACGAATTCAAGGGGGTTCTTGCCTTGCAGCAAAGCATTGTAGCAGAAACTGAGTCGGTCGAGAAGTGCAGATGGCATGGATTGGAGCACTTAGTTCACAGAACTGATAACCTCATACACTGCATTCAAGAGACTCGCCCCGGTTGCTGCTGATGCGTGATGATCTGAATATGTTCGCCCACAAGCAAGTCACATCTTTGGTGTGACTTAAGAATGCAGCTACTGAATCGTCCCTCTCGGCCTTCAATGGAGCCACCACAGTCTGCGGGCAACACTAAGACTCATGTGGCTGAGCCAAACACCAAGATGTGTTTCATGACTTGGGCCGAGCCTTTGATGAACATTGATGGAAAGCCACTAAGCATGTCTAAACTATGGCATGGGAATGCATGGGTTCATGGCATGGATGACATGATTTCTACCATTTCAGACAGGGCCAACAACAAAACGGAACAAGCTGGAGCCACACGGCCTGCCTGCACGGGGCAACGCTTCTCTGTCTCGCCCTTCCAAAAAGATCTTCCGAAAGGTCCAAACTACGCATGGCTTTCCCACTTCTCTGTTACCTCATATTGCCTGGTACTTGGCATTACGAAAACCATGGACGACGATGCCTTTGGAGTGTCCAGATTCACTCTGAGGTGGCCACTCATCGCCCTGCGACACGTCGCGGGAATCATCACACACGACATCAAAAAACATGACATCAATTAAACCCAAGCTCCGAATCATTGGCGAACTTGATAAAAATACGCTTTCACTCCAGTGAAAAAGGTTACTGAAGTATACACAATGGATTCCAGGTCAAGCAAAAGAATTCATGGAAAATCCACGGGCCCTTTTTTCAAGTCACTGTCCAAGTCTTGTCACTTCCATTTCTTGATTGAATCGACGCCCGTCTCCGTCCCGCCAGCAGGTGCTTTCGCAGCTGCCGAGCTCCACGGGAGGGTGAGTTCAAAGGTAAGGCCTTGGAGGTACGTTCGCCCTGTTTAGGCAACGTACCTTCGGTGACTCCCATCCATCTGAAGTGGCTACTAGCCGAAGTGGAAGCAGCCACTTAGTGACCTGGAACAAATACCCCGTAGAGAAGACCATTGTCCCAGCACTTCCATGTTAGTTCTTTTGGGAGAGTCCACTAAACTTGGCTTCCAAATCTGTTTGCAACAGCTCCATCTCTTCCAGTCGTTCTTTCGAAATGCCCCGAGTCTGTCGTCTGTCTGTCGTGTATGGATGGCTCCTGTTTCATCCAGTGATGCGAAACCGCTCATCGAAAGTCGGGGAAAGGTTGAGAAACCCTGGAAGAATTCAATCACATTGGATCAAATTGGTTATAATACTTACCTAGGAGAAGATCATCTTGCTTGCTCAGCTTCTCCGTAGCCAAAAAAAGGAACGAGAGCGGAATCAGCTCGTCCACACAGAGCTGAGAGAAACGATTCTCGTGGCCCATTGGGTGAACTAAATGGGTGCACATAAATCGACGCAGGGCTCATAACCAAGTGGTTGTGAAGGACTTTGCAAAGCACCAAGTGGTTGCGTACTTTGACATGAATGAACACTTGGGACAAAATGCTGTTTCCACCGATGAGCAGGTTAGACTTCTGGCTTGCCCGGATTCGGGTTGTTCGAGTCTTTCCAAAGTCTCCTCAAGAACACCAATGGTTCTTGACAGTACAAACCATCCGCTCGCTGCTCTTCACAAACACTTGCGATCCTCTGCACAAATAAGGTCCACTCTCTGCTCTTCTTTTTCGACCAAGTCGCAAAGGACTTGTCCTTCGGACTGCCACGGACCTTGCAAATGCAAACTGGCAGCATTTGGACTCTCCCTACACAGCGGTGGGTCACCTTGGTTGACCACCCGAAATGAACAGAACAGAATAGGTCAACCTACCAGGGATTCAGGCGGATGAAGGAGTCCCGGTTTTGACCCACAGCCATATTGCCTGGAAGCTCCCTCTGCCGCTCTGCCAAGGCATCCTGACGTGGTCTCGACTAGTCCTTCTTAATTCCCCATGCTTGGCACAGCAACTTTTGGCCGAATTCTCGGAAGCTGAGAATGGAAGCCGAGTCGCGTCTCTTCACATCTGAATGGGCTTCCCCAGTCGGTGTTTTCGACCCGAATCTTCGGTGCAGAAATGTCGGAACACGGAACCCGGTCATCGAACCCGAACCTGGAAAGCAGCCAAATAGATATTGATATAAGTCTGTTTGATAGACTTGGACACATATACATAGTGGTAAGGATGACGAAGAAACATTCCATGCCCCAACAATCCATGGGATTGGAATATTGACCTACAAAAACAGCAAACACATCTGACCAAACACGATGTTACCCAAGTGACAGCAAATCTTCCATGTTTCATGGGTTCCTTGGGACCAAACGAACTGCAGCGTGTCTTCCTCGAAACAAAGCCACTTGGAACTTCTTCGGGGAGGGCGAATGGCAGCCCAGACGCTGTCGCAGCATAGAGGTCCTGGAAGGCAGTCCTGGTGGGGCCTCATCGAAGGGAGGACGCGTTGGACCATAGATTCTACCCTACTAGTAAGAGTCCCGAACCAATGGGAAGGGTTTTTTCGTTCGGGTCCTGACTCCCAAGATGTCGGGTATGACCTCTCCCAAGATGTCGGCCCCTATCTTCGGACTGTGAGTTATGTTTGTTGTGTTTCTGATAGACAGATATGGAGATGTGTTCTTTGTTTAACATCAATCAAGAGTCAATCAACTGTCAACGGTAGGAGTCCAACAACAGCCTGCCAACAATAAGGTGATCGAACGTACCCAGAATTCCAAGATGTAGTTCAAAGAGGCAAATTCAAACCGTACCGAGATCTAAATGTTCACATTGTGTATCTACATATATGCAGCACGTGGTTGGTTGCATCATTCATATCCTTTCTATGTTGTTGTTTCCCTTTCCACCTTACCTCCTTTCAAACATGTAAGCTTGCAAACTGTGGACCTAGCTCAAACAGTTTTCCACTGCAGTTTGCATAGTCAGAGGATACAAACCCTGGATACCCTCTAACGAATCTTGCCTGACTTTCTCCACATCATGTTGCTTCAATGATGCTGAATGGTTGACAACAAAATTCAATCTCTAAGATTTGTAGGACGACAAGCTCAGGTTCGATAGCCATTCCAACTGCAAATCGTTCTTTGGGCGGCCGAGAGTCTGCTGGTCTCCCCAAGTCGCGCCTCAGAAGCACCAGCACCAAGTGAAATGCTAGTTTCCCAGAATAATTGGTTCAAGGGAAATTCTACAGGAAATCCATAGTTTGGGAGGTGAAACCATGGTTTCCTGCATCCTTAAACCAATTCTGGGACAGTTTGATTGTAAAAAACCTACAGTTGCCGCTTTGCGAGTCTGAAGCCATGGCATTCACACAGGGTAGCACCCTTTCCGTTTTGTTTGTTCAATAGTTCCCACTAGACAAATCAACAAGAAATATACGCTCTGCCGCTCTTAAGCAAAGACACAGTGTCAAATGACAAAATCCCTTCGCGAAAGAAACACAGGCATTGAGAAAGCTCATCTTGCTCTTGGCCAAACAAGCACCACTGGGTGCAACAAGTCTTCCAAACCCTGAGAACCTCAACAACCTCACACCTGAAGCCTTCGCTCCCACAAAAGTCACCAAAGGTACCAAGTTGAGGTGTTTTGTGTTATTTTCTGTTGCTTGATGTTCTGCTTGATGTTCATAAGCTACTAAGGGTGCCTATATACTTAATCAAATATGTACTCCACTTGGATGCGTTGTCTTCTTTTGGATCACGCCGCATACCACTCTGCTGGGTCTGCCGCTTCTAATGCATCGGCCAGGCTCTTCTTTGGAGTTTCCACCTGTGACACATCTCTGAAAATCCCACTTGCTGGTATAAATCAAATTATTCCAACATATGAAAATCCGATCCAACAATTTAAACCATGTACAGGTGAGCGCGGTTTGGTGTACTACCAAATGGTGATCCAGCTCTCGTCAATCAACAGTGGCAACTCGCAGATTCCGTCGATTTCTACTCAGCAAAGAAGAAAAAACCATTCATTTCTGCAGCAAAAGGGTCAACAGAGCCAACAATCCAAGTTGAAACAGGCCTTTGCGACTCTCTGTTGGTGAAAATCTGACACAGGACGGAGTGCACCAGAAGCGTGTCCAACAAACTGCACAGCGATGCTAAGCCTTTAAAATTCTATGATTTTATGTGTGTACAACAAACAATAATATTAAATATAATACTGACTTATGATAACAATTTACAGGAACCGACAATCGTGCAACTAGCAAAGGCCATGAACAACTCCCCCACGAAGAGCTCGATCAGTGGCCGAAACATTCCAGCAATTCAGCCTTCATCGTAAGCGCCAGTCCTGGGAGAGGCAATGCATTCAGCAACACAACTGTATGGAAGGCGTGCACGCAAGTACAGGAATCATCGTGATAGACCATTGGCCGGGAGAGTTGACTCATGTTGTATACAAAATATGTTGTCATATGTTGTCATACTTTGTCAGGTCTATCATGTGTTCTATGATTGATCTATCGGATTGACGTATCCAATTTGGATCGTGTCAGGTTTCCCTCCGATAAAAAAACTGACAACACGGATGAACTGTAGGAAAAACTTTGTTGTTATGGCCAAGGATGGTCAAGGGCCTTTCTTGAAACATGTGTATCCCCAACCTCGATTCCCAATCATTGCCCCTCTTTTAATATGAAGCACCCGTGGACCTGAGCACCAGTTTTTCTGTGAGGGAATCATTCCAACATGACTCGTCGAAGTGCCATGTTTGGAGTGATACTTTTCAGACAAGGACCCCATATCCTTGCCCATATGCTCTGGAGGTCTAGGTGTATTGGTTTGACTCGAACAGTCGTTGTCGTTGTTTACCTAGAACACGACACGCAGTAGTTCCGTCGAAGCATCCTCTCGTTCAAGCAGCCAAATGAGTAGTGCAAACGCTTCTTCAATCCAGCTCCACCCCGTGCATGTGTTCTGACATGTATGCCATCATTTGTTCTTCCATCAAAGATATCCTGGCATCCTACCTGGCATAAACTCAAACATTGTGTCTGGCATATGCTCTGAGTTCTATCTGGCAAAGTTGCTGGCATTCTATCTACCATATTTGCTTGCATTTTATCTGGCATCATTGCTGGCACTCAATCTGGCATTCTACTTGGCACATGCTCTTGCAGTCTATCTGGCATACATTCTGAAATTCTATCTGGCATACATTCTGACATTCTACCTGGCATACATTATGACCTTCTATCTGGCATATATATATATATATTCTGACATTCTAT